CTGCTCGCAGGTCGGCGCACCAGCTGCCCGGGACGCAGTTTTATTTTCTGCTCCTTTTCCACTTAGGCTTAATTTGGAGTTCGCTTTTTTCAAAGCACACTGGGTGGACATTTTCATTGAGCCGTCTAGCACAACCCCAAGATGCTTTTCTTGCTCGGAGCTCACTTGAGGTTGTGATGTTTTGCCCAATATCCGGCATAGATTCATTGAACAGTAGAGTTAGAAGAGGCCTAGAAGGCCACCGGGTCCACCCCCTTGCTGCTGCAAGTCACCAATTTACATCCCTTTACACTTGGATTGAACTGCATTTTGCCTTGTGATGCCCACTCTCCCAGGTTGAAGAGCCCTTTGGAGCTTCTCACAACCTGCTTCAGGCAGAAATATTGTTAGTCGTGCTGGGAAAAGGGCTGTGGCTGGCAGCCAGCCTAGAAAAGCCAAGAAGGCTTGCCCACTCACTCTTGGGTGCTCCTACTGAGGGTTCTGCCTCGCCTATTCACAAGGCGTCAACTTGCCCAGAGCATTTGTGTGCACAAGAATAACTTCCCCCTGACGGCCCAGGCCATTCCTCACCAGGTTCAGAAAGTGGACAGCCTTTGCAGAGAAAACCTGTCATTTCAAGAACTGCACATTGGATGGGTGACTCCCCCTTCCCCATCCCTGTAATTGGATGAGTTGGGAAAGCCTGAGTGCATACAGAGTGCTTCAACTTTTCCACTTAGTGGATGGGATTCTGTGGCCCACCTCTTTTGCCTTAAGCCACATGTTCCTCATAGCTTTTTACAAGAGCTCAGTTCAGACTGGCAAGGGTAGGAATTTCTTGTTAGCAGGGGAGGAAATGTAGGGTGCCCTGGGATCGCCACCCTGGAACTCTTACAAGGGGCTAAAAACTGCTATAAGCTGCTCTGTCAAGTGGGTAGATGAGGGAGCCAGAGTGGAACTCTTGTCCTGGAGCCCCTGCTGCAATGGTCCAGTTTAAAGTGGGTTTTTCCAAGTACTGGGCAATCAGGATGGATGAGGGGTTTGGGTGGGGTAGCGAACTCCTATCTGCCTACCATTTTCGCTAAGGTTTAAGACAAAGCCTGAAAGGGAAGTAATGAAGGGGAGGTAGGAACACGGCACAAAATTCGCGGGGGTTAGTTCCTAAAGCACCCACAAATTGTGAAAAACCGTGAATTTGGTGCCGGCGATGGGCGCTGGCCACCAAGGCGGTGCAGGCGGGAGGCCCGGGACGGGGGTGGGGGGCGCACATGCACAGAGATCGTTTTCGTCCAAACTCGGAGGAAACGATCTCCTTGCGAGTAAGCCGCCACGCGGCGAGGCGCTGGCTTACTCACAAGGAGATTGGCTTGACTCGCTCGGAGAAAAATCCCGCGAAAGACTGAAGCCACGAACGCTGAACCGCGACTTCACAGGGGCGTGCGAACCGCTGATATTAACTTGGGCGTTTGCAAGAGTGCCCCTTTTCGTGTCGCAGCCCGTTCCTCTGCCAGAGCTGCATTGCGACCAACGGGGCTTCCTCCCTCGCTCTTTTGCGTCGTGGCCGCATCACGCAGCGAAAGGGCCCCTCAGCGGCATGGCAGGAGGGGCTGCCACGGAAACGGGAGGGCCCGTGCGGGCTTCTGCTCAAGCCCCCGCGGAACTGGCGGCCCCGGACGGCAGGGACGAGCACGGTCCGCAGCCCCCGCGGCCAGCCTGACGGCCACGGCTAGGGAAGGCTGGGCGAGGCTCCCTCCGCAGGCCTCGGGGCGCGGCTCCGCGACGGGCGCGACGCGGCGGCCCGGCCCGGCGCTCCCTCCGCCACGGCCCGCGGGGCCTTCCTGCGGGGCCCGGGGTTCCGGGCTCCCCGCCTCCCAGGCTGCTCCGCCCGCGGAGCGGGGGACGGGGAGGGCGCGCTGCCCGGCGACCAACGGGCGAGGCCTCGAAGCCCGCCGGGCCCCGCTTGCCCGGTCCCTCCGACGGCCAGCAGGGCCCGCCAGCCTCCGCGCCGGCCGCTCTGCCCGCGAACATCGCTGGCGGCGGAGCCCTTCCGCTCGCCGGGCCATCGCCTTTTTCCCGGATGCGGGGCTTGTGCTTCCGGCCGGCCGTGATCCGCCAAGGGGGACTCTATGGTGCCTGCTTCCGGTTCCGCCTCCCGGTGTCTTGGCTTCCCTCCCTCGCTCGGTTCTCGCCTGCCGCCGCCGCGCGTCCCCTTCCCTCCCTCCCTCCCTCCCTCCCTGCCGCCGCCAGCGCCGCCGCCGCCGCCGGCCCCGCCCCGCCCGGCTCGGCCTCCTGCCCGCGCGCCATGGGCGCCTACCTGTCGCAGCCCAGCACGGCCAAGAGCTCCGGGGACGGCGCCGGGTCCGGGCCGCGCCCGCTGCACTTCGGCTACAGCGCCATGCAGGGATGGAGAGTCTCCATGGAGGTGAGGCCGGGCGGGAGGGAGGGAGTCGGGGCACCGGGCTGGCGCCGCGCCGGGGCGGGAGTGCCATGCGGGGGGCGGCCCCGGCGACGCGCCCGCTTGCCGTGGCCGTGGCGCCGCTCGCCGCCGCCTCCTGCCTGAGCGCCCGGTTTCTCTTCCAGGACGCTCACAACTGCATCCCCGAGTTGGACCCTGAGACTGCCATGTTCTCTGTTTATGATGGGCACGGAGGTGAGCGAGGCTAGTGGGACGCCCGACTGGCAGGCCACCCCGCCGAGTGAGGCCGCCGTGGAGCAGCTGTCTCTTGGGCATGGGGCAGTCCACTTCTGCTCCTCCGATTTCGCTGCCCCCTGCTTGCAGGGCAGCCCCCTCAGCCCAGGCCAACAACGCAGTGAACTTTGTGGCTCTAGGGGATGTGTTGCTTAGGTTTTTCTTTTCTCCTTTCCTGGGAGCAATTGTGCTGCTTGTGTGCTGAGGCAAGGGACATGCCTCTTACTATTGGCTTCTTTACTCTAGGAGAAGAGGTTGCTTTGTATTGTGCCAAGTATCTCCCAGAGATCATCAAGGATCAGAAAGCGTACAAGGAAGGCAAGTTACAGAAGGTAAGGCAGAAGGCTTCTTCCAAGAGCCACTGTGCTTTCCATGGCCATTTCAGAGGTCATGATCAGGAGGCCAAGCTCCCTTCCAAGGGTGTGCTGAGTGCCACCCATTTTCCACCTGGTTCAGGTTATAAACTGTCTTGGCAGATTAAGCTGCATACTGTTTCAAGGTAAATCCTAGGGTATCGGTGGGGTGTTTTTCTCTACCTCTCTCGTGCCAGGTAGAAATTAATTTGCTTTCCAGACTTTTCATTTTCCATTTAATCCAGAGGACTTTGGTAGCTCTTCTAATTTGGTGTTTGTGTTTTAAGTTATTCTAGCTTCTCTTGCCCCAGCCTTTGTTTTTCTTGATGCTTTTAGTTTCTTCTTTAGTGGTGAAGTATGTTTAAGTTGCAGTCAATGTAGGAAGTCTGACTGGTTTGATATGGAATTGTTGAGGGGCTGCTAGATCATCAGTTGAGCAAGCTTTTAGATGATTAGGAACAAGCCCCAAGAGAATAACAGAAGAACAGTGCAAGATTGGGACACTGCTGTCTAATCGCATGTTTTGGCTTGCATGTTTTGTCTCCTGACTTTGGCCATCTATATGGTCTCAGGAGTCATGCGAGAATGATTCAGTCCCCACCACTTTCTGGAATAGAGCACAAACTGGCTTCGGAAAGGGCTATTCTTTTGACCTGGAACAAGGTTGAGTGTTGTGAGGGTGCTAGGCAAGACAGCACTGTCTCTTCCCCGGCACACTATGACTTGGTAAGGACTGTGTTAGAAGTCAAATGCAGTTGTGCTCCAAAATGGTCTCTGAACTGGGCAATGGTTCCCCAGGACTTCCTGTGAACTGCTCATCCTTCCTTTTGGCACTGCTTGTAGGCACTGGAGGATGCCTTTCTGGCCATTGATGCCAAGCTGACAACCGAGGAGGTGATCAAGGAACTGGGGCTCATGGCTGGGCGGTCTCGAGACAATGGTGATGAGAAAGAGGAGAAGGTAGCTGATGAAGATGATGGTAAGTGAAATGATAGCTCACTGTCAGAATAAAAGCAGAGGACAGCAGGGGTGAGGGGGATGCCCTGGTACCAGGGCAGAACAGGTAAGATGTGTCTCACCTCCACTGGGGTTCGAGGCCTAAAGAAAGCGGAGGGGCCTTCTTGATCCCATAAGCGAGTGCAGTCCATGCTGCGTTGCAGTCAGGTTGACACGTAGCACTGGGAACCTTGACTCTCCCTGAGCGGTGTGGAAGGCCCTTCAGCCCCAGACAGTGTGGCTGGTGGCCAGGACACAGTCCAAGAGCCGTAGTAAAGCCCGGCTCTATGTAAAGCAGCTTTCCTGATCGGGGGAAAAGGTAGCTGAAGGGCCTGGAGGCGGGGGCAGGGCAGTACAAGGGCCCATGAGCACCCAGCTCTCGCTGGCTGAGCTGGGAGGTGACTCTGCCCGTGGGGGTGGGCATGCACCTGTGGCGGCGCAGTCAGCGGTCAGAGCGGACAGTGCCGCTAAGCCGGGAAGGAGGTTGCGGAGGGTTGGCTGCCCTGCTGACCGGCACCCCGCTCCCCCTTGTGCAGTGGACAACGAGGAGGCCGCTTTGCTGCATGAGGAGGCCACAATGACCATCGAGGAGCTGCTCACTCGCTATGGCCAGAACTGTGTGAAAGGCAAGCTGGGGCCGCCAGGCAGAGAGCTGGCCCAGGAGCACGCCCAGGGCCCGAGCCTGAACGGCGAGGCGGGCACAGAGGAGCTCTCCAGGCACCGCGAGGGGGAGAACGGCGAGCCCTGCCCGGAGCCCAGCCTCGCTCCTGGCCCAGACACAGCTGGCGGAGGGGACATGGGCACCCTGCAGAAGAGGGTGGCAGAGGGAACGGCTGCTCCCGCTGCGGGCGAGGCCGAGCCCTCCTGTTCTTCTGCAAGCAAGGCCCAGCGAGCGGCCAAGTCCAAGTTTTTCGAGGACAGTGAGGATGAGTCAGAGGAGGAGGAGGAAGAGGAGGAGGAGGAAGAGGAGGAAGAAGACAGTGAGGTACTTGGGGTGGGGCTGTTTGCTGTATTCCTCCTCATTCCAAGGCTAGGAGCTGAGGGCAGTGTGTGGCTTGCGGCTCCGCTGCCGGCAGCTGGCCCTGGGATCTGCCCGCGGCCCAGCAGCCCTGCTTCTGCCCTCAGCCTTCCTTGTGGGGCGGGTCCCTGTCTTGACTAGGAATGCAGTGAGGATGAGGATGGCTACAGCAGCGAAGAAGCAGAACATGAGGAAGATGAGGAGGAAGATGATACAGAAGAGGCGGAGGAGGAGGAGGACATGATGCTCCCCGGTATGGAGGGAAAAGAGAAGGTCAGTGCCTGAATCGGGGGAGGCTTCATCCCGGCCGAGGATCCTGTTCTTTCCAGAGAGCTGCCTGGGCCCTTAGCGGGAGGCGGCCATGTGCTTGCGGGAGGGAGACTTGTGGGCTCTCACGGCTCCACTCTGGCCTTGGGATACACTCCTCTGGCCCACCTTGTGCTCCTGCAGGGGGATGCCTCATGGCCCTCTTTTTCTCCAGCCTGGCTCAGACAGTGGCACGACGGCGGTGGTGGCCCTCATCCGGGGCACTCAGCTAATAGTGGCCAACGCCGGGGATTCTCGCTGTGTGGTGTCTGAGGGCGGCACGGCTGTGGACATGTCATATGACCACAAGCCCGAAGATGAGGTGGAACTGGCCAGAATAAAGAATGCTGGAGGGAAAGTGACCATGGATGGCCGGGTGAACGGGGGCCTCAACCTTTCCAGAGCCATTGGTGAGCACGCCGTGAGACGGCAGGTGTGGGGGCTGTTTGCGGGGCCTCCCATGCCGCTCCAAGCAGTGGTCGGGGGTATTGGCCAGAGCTGTGTTGTCTCTGGCCACAGTCCTCCCCCTTGCCTGAGGCTCAGGCAGGAAAGTTGGGAGTTTGGGGCTGTTGGGAGCCCCCAGTCAGAGCCAGAGCCCTCTGGCCCAGGATTGCATTTCCGGAGGTGCTCGGCAAAAAGGCTTCTGGCAGCTTGCGGGAGGCCATGCAGGCAAAGTCCTTTCCCTGAGACACCGCCTCGGCCCTTGACACTGCCCTGGGGAACACCAGCCCGGGGCAAGCACTCTGCCGAAGCTCTTGTAAAGGCCACCTGCAGTCCCTCGGCTTGCGGCCCGGCGGCACCCGGCTGCGTGTGCTCGGTGCGGCTTGCTGCCGACCAGCCTTTCCCTCGTCCCGTCCCCACCCCAGAGGTGCATCGTCTTCACACAGATCTCTCCCCGCCCCAGGAGATCACTTCTACAAGCGCAACAAGAACCTTCCCCCAGAGGAGCAGATGATCTCGGCGCTGCCAGATATCAAGGTGCTGACCATCAGTGACGAGCACGACTTCATGGTCATCGCCTGCGACGGCATCTGGTAGGCAGGCCTGAGCAAGCCTCCCCCTCCCCGCCTGGGGTGGCCGAGTCAGCAGCGGGCGGTCCTACCGGGGAAGGGCCCCCCCCAGCCACGCTGGCCTGAGCAAGGGCGCCGCCACACAGCCCGGGTGGGCTGGGGTGGTTGGCGGAGGAAGCCCGCTCCCCACCGGCTTTTGGAAAACCTCCTCCTCCCCGCTGACGGCCCTTCATGCTCCCATCAGGAATGTAATGAGCAGTCAGGAGGTTGTGGATTTTGTCCAGTCCAAGATCACCCAGAAAGCAGAGAGCGGAGAGCTGCGGTCCCTGTCGTCCATTGTAGAAGAAGTGAGTTGGAGGGCCCGAGAGTCTGCGGCATGCCCAGTCTGGCTGCCGTGTGGGGCAGCTGCCCGTTGCGCGTGAGCTCAGGGCCTGCTTTGGCAGCGGTGTGCTGAGCAGCTGTGCTCAAGTGCCACACCCAGGCTAGGCCCAGAGTGCAGGAGGCGGGGTGCCCGGCCCACGGTCCAGCCTGAGGTGCGACAGTGCACAGTGCCGGCCCGCGCGCTACTCACGCCGTCTGGGGCACTGGCAACCAGGAGGTTGCTCGCTCGCAAGCCCAGATGCCGCAGCCAGTCCCGGCTCGCTCACGCCAAGGGCTTCCGCACCTCGCGTGGGCCTGCCTGCACCGCCCCGGCCCTCCTCCCTCCTGCTCAGGGAGAGTCTGGGATGCCGCTGGCAGGTGCTCACGTGAGCTCTCTCTCCCGGCAGCTCCTGGACCACTGCTTGGCCCCCGACACATCCGGCGATGGAACCGGCTGCGACAACATGACCTGCATCTTGATCTCCTTCAAACCACGCCCCAGCCAGCCTTCCCCGGCCGCTGCAGCCGAAGGGGGCAAACGGAAACTGGAGGACGAGGCGGCGGCAGTGGCGGCCGCCCCAACGGAAGAGAGCTGTAGCAAGAAGGCCAGGCAGAACTAGCAGCCAATGGGCTGGGGATTGCCGGAGCTCTCGCTGGACTCTAGTTTTCTAAATGATGCTGAACTCTTGCTGCCCGACGTGGGCATTTTTTAGCCTTAGGGAGGCCAAGTCCGTCTGTCTTTGTGGGGGAGGAGGAGGAGGGCTTCATGATGGTCCCACTGTTCTTTGAAACCATTCCAAAGAGTGAAAGGGGGGGGGGGCTGGGCTGCCTGGAGGCCAGCCCACCCACCCTGCAGCATCGCCGTGTGGTTGTTTGCCATTTCCGTGCCTGTGACGTTTCTGTTGGCGGGAAGCAGTTTCTAATGTGGAGGTTTCGCAGCTGTGCCCCCTATTTAAGGCCTTCTGTTTTTTTATTTGTGGGACTGGTGGCCAAGCCCCGCTTTGTGTCGTTCACTTTCAACTGAGATTTTTTCAAACTAAAAACCGAAAAACTGAACCGGGAGTGTGTGCTTTTGTGTGGGGGTGGGGGTGGGGGGGCAGGCGAGCCCAGCCAGGATCTGGGACGCAGCCCCTTCCTTTCCTCTTGCCTCGCAGCCAAGCTGGCCTTGCTGCTTCAGAGCAGGGCTGCCTGCCCCACAGCCGGAGCTGCCAGAGAACCTCTGACGGCACGGCACAGATGGCAGCATCCCCGCCTTTTGGCTGCCTGGTTCCTCGCTGAAGCTGTGTGCGCACACAGCTTTATGTTTATCTTCCACCTTTGGAGGCGCTACTCTGAGCAGCTGCTTTTCCAGGCTGTGTGCGTGCGCATGCGCTCCTGGCGCATCCCATGTTCCTGTTAGGGCATTGCCTCGAATGCCCTTAGGTGCTTCTCTGAAGTAATGGTGTGGAATGTGCGGTATCTGGTGCACCTCCAGCTCCCCACTGCTTCAGGAACCCTTTCCCAGTGCTTAAAAGGCGAGGTTTACCTTTGAAAACCGAAGGCTGGGGGGCACAGGGCCCCTTACCCCCTGCGCTGAGATGCCTTCTCCCCTGAGGATGGGCTTTGGACAGCCGCTGCATGCCCAGCCTGGGGCTGCTGGAGCGGTCCTCCCGGGCTCAGCCTGGCACGCCTTTTTCCAGCGCAGCACCAAGTCAGCCCCCCCTCAGCCTTGGCGAGGAAGGCACCACTTCGGCACTGCACAGGCTGGCGTGTGGGCACGGGCTGAGGGGCCCTGGGCTCCCACAGCGGTGCGCCTGCCTCTGAAGTGGGCAGGGCTGGCAGGACAGGGGCTGCGGAGGCACAGGGGCAGCCGTCTCTCGGGACAGGGTGGCCTCGCACCTGCATGTGAGAACCAAGTGGCCACCTGCCACCACAGGACCTCCGGCGGTTCGGAATGGCCCGTTGCCTGGGCTTCGCACACAACTCTCGCAAGGGTGGGGCTTTCGCCTCCCACCCCCATCCCCCCACTCCGGTGCAGGCTGAGGGGCGGCCCCAGCACAGCTTCCCCACGGAGCCCCTCACCTGCCACAGCCCCTCTGCGGGTCCCAGTCCTTCCCCGGGGGCTCCTGGGGCCTGAGCCCCACTCTGTTGCGCCAGCCGTGTGCTGAGACGGTGGCAGCTCAAGCCACTGCCCTTCTCCAAACAGGTCTCCTTGCCCCACTGGCCAGGCCCGGCCCGGCCGGGCCCCACAAACGGGAGAGGTGCGGGTCAGTTGGCCTCCGCGACCGGCTGCAATTTATTGCCTCAAAGCCGTGAGGTCTGAGCTTACACTGGACGGAGAGGGAGATGCGAGGCGTTCAGGCGGGCGGGTGGGCGGGTGGGCGCTGGCGAGCCTGGCACTGCGGCAGGTGGGCAGGGGGCTGGCCTTCCCCGGTCCACGGTAGCGTCTGTGGCTGTCGGTGCTGTGGCTTCACTCAGTGGTCACCCCTGCCAAGCTGCAGCTGTCGCTGGTGTAGGCCAGGGAGTCTGTGGAGCAGCTCCGCTCACCCGATGCAGCGCTGCAGAGGCGATGCTCGTGGGCAGCGGGTGGCTCGGCCTCTATATCCACCTGCACCACGTTCAGCCCGTCCCTGTGCAGGACAGAGAGCAAGTGGGGAGTCGGGCCTGGGCCAGGTGGCCGTGCGCGCCTGATAGGGCACATGCCATCAACCACTGTGGCTCGGAAGGCAGGGTCCGGACTTCCAGTGCCCCGGCCACGGCTCGCCACTTGTGGCCTGCCCCACTGCTAACCCGTTTTCAAAAACATGAATTGTAAGAAATGCGAAAAACACAAAACTTGAAATTGCTACTTTAAAAAAAACTGGAAGAATGCTCTTTGATTTTCTTTCTCAAATACAAAACAGTTTTAGTACACAAATTTTCAATAAATCCTGTGAATTGTGCTGTTAAAATTTAAGTCTCCTGAAAGTTTCCATTTCAGGCACATCAATGTCTCATTCTGAGTGCCTTTTCCTTTGCAGATTTCCCCACCAGTTCCCTGAGGTCAAGTGTTTGAAAACTTACTGCCCCAGGAAGCAGGTGGCAGTGCTTGGGGCCATGGGCCTTTTGCAAGCGATAGGAGGTGCAGCCTTGCATAAGACTGTGTAATTAATTATATTGCATAGCACTGTTGCGATATTTATCTTAAAATACACAGTACACATTGTCCATTTCATTTTTTCAAGAAACTGACCTGTACACCACTGTGCCCCTCCAGGGTCTGTGCCCGAGGCAGCCGCCTAGTTGGCCTGGCGGTCGCACCGGCCCTGCAGGGCCCAACCCCGAGAGGCCTGCATTCCAAGGCGGTGCGACGGAAGGGAAGGGTGAGGGGCACACGCGGAGGACGGCCAGAGCCGCCCCCAAGCTGTGCTCGGCGTGCGAGCAGCAGCTGCCCCTCCCCAGGCCACGGGGGCTCCGCCACACTTGCCATCCTTTTCCGGCCCAATCTGCAGAAGCCCCCTCCAACCCGGACTAACCTGTAGGAGGCTGTCTCCGTGCCGGCAGCCTGGCTCTCCAGGCGCCTCTGGCATGGCTCCTCTGGTCGGCTGGTGCTTCGGCTGGGCGAGGGCAGGGCACGAGGGCGCCCCCCTGCCTCGGCCACCACAGGAGTAGGCAGCACAGCCAGCAGCTCATTCACTGGGATGGGCAGAGAGAGAGCGGAAGCTGCTGCAGCCCTTCCCAGCCCACAGACGTCTTCACAGTGCCGGGACACCTCTGCAGGACTGCGGGCACGGAAGCCCAAAGGGTGGCCACCGCTACTCCTCAGGAGCCCGAAGGAACAGCACCCCCAGTGGTGCTGCAGGCAAGCAGGCACCACCTGGGCAGGGGCTTCCAGTTAGCCACCGAGGCCCACCTGGGGACGAGAGGAAGAGGTGCCCCGTGGCAACCCAAATTGGCCTTTTGCACATGCAGCCTGGCTACCTGGGAGGCAGACTTGGCCAGTTCCCTTGGCCAGAACAGAACCAGTGTCTTAACTGGCGAGAACTGCCTGGCGGGCTCCAGCTCTTTGGCAGTCTACAGGAACGTAACGGACTGAATGAACACGTCCCGGTGGGCTTCACATGAGAATGCAGCAGCTGCCACGCTGTCAGGGGAAGGCACCCCCCACTTTGCTTGCACCCGCAGCGGAAGGCGGGGCCTCTTTGGCTTCAGGGAGAGCCCTTCCTGGGAATGCCGTGGCACAGAGGGACACCTGGGGCCTGAAAGCCCTCCCTGCCACAGGCACTTGGAAGCCATGCAGCCCAGACAGACGCGGCTGCTTCCGCTGCAGTCTGGGGGGCCTAGGAGGCCTGCCTGGCTTGGCTGCCCAGGAGCTGCAGCGCGGGGAGGGGCTCACGCGGGCAATCGAACAACCTGGCAGGTCACCTCAGGCAGAGTGATCGGCCGATCCATCACTTTTCTCCTAGAATTAGCAGCACTTTTTGCAGAGATCAGCACACGAATTTAGGCGTCAGTTTAGAGAGGAGCGCGTAACGGATGATTTGCTGGGCAGCAACTGTGAGGTGGCCCTGGACCGGGCCGTGTCTCTCCCGCAGCGACTCACGTACATTTGGCGGGGCTCTCCAGTTCGGTGGCGTTGAGCTCCCCAGCCTTTCTCGGAGCACTTCCACACCCCCAGCGGTCCCGGCACAGGGAGAGCAAAACGACCCCATACACGTAGGTGAGCATGAGGGGCACCCCAATTCCTGCCAGCAAAGAGCCCGTGGTGAAAGCCTGCTTTGCCCGACGGCCGCCGAGAATCAGGTGCCAAGAACGGCGGAACTTGGCGCCCTCGCCACCCCCTGGCAGTGGCACTCCCGCAGGGCCCTCCATGGCTCCAGGGAGCCTCGGCCTGGGCCCACTGGGGGCTCTTACCAACAGTAATGGCCATGACAACGGGAGAGACGACCAGCGAGAGGAGGATGCTGCTGCCCACGGAAAGGCACTGCTGGCAGCTGGACAGGTTGCTCTTGCGCCCGTGGCTCAAAACCTGGAGGGAGGAGGGAGGAGAAGTGGGAAGCGGTCCCTTCAGGAGCGGAGGAGTGCCGCCGGCCCAGCCCACTGGCCCATGCGCCTTACCTTCTTCCCCAGGTAGAGCGGGATCCCCAGGGTGATGACAGGCACTGCAAGGCCAGCCACGAGCGAGATCACCATGGGGGCGCCCAGCACCATGCCCAGCTGCCACAGGAGCTTCCGGGTCTGGGACCATGGCCTCTTTCCCCAGAAGGTGCAACCAGAAGGGCTGAGGAGGGAAGACAGCAGAACTCAGTGGCAGGGGACCCCTCCTCAGCTCCCAAATCTGCAGGCTGGTAGATCTTTACATCCAAGCACGAGTTCAGTGGCACGTGTATGCTGACCTCTATTTCTCTATAACATAAACATGCCAGGGGAAAGCTCCGTGTGCGTGCGCATGTGCACGGCAGGCCCTTGTACAGAAATTAAGCCTCTCTGCTCGGTCAGCCAGCTGGGCAGTACATTCTCTCGCTAGAGCATGGTGCCCAATTCTGCACACCGCTACCCAGAAGTCAGTCCCTAAGTTCACTAGGCTTGCGCCTGGGTGTCAGCCTCAGGCCGAGTCCCAGCTCTTCAGCTGACTCCTGCCTGCCCCTCATGCCAGATCCAGCCCTGCAGAGGCCCCAGCTCCACAGAGGGCCCAGCCCAGCGCGCACCTCCCTGTCCCAGCCCCACCTGAGGAAGTGGACGTCTGTGATCTCTCGCATGCAAAGCCAGCAGAAGAGGCAGCCGCAGACGGTGCAGCTCATGCGGTTGCAGCTCCCGTCCTCGATCTTCGCGATGAGAGCCCCGCAGCGTGGGCACGCCTTGATGGCCTCCGCATCTGTGGGGAGAGGGAAGGTGATGCAGGCGGGCGCGCCTGGGCCGACGGGCTGGCCCACGAGAGCCAGAGGGGCCGCTGCTCCCCAGGTGGGGCCTGCGCACTCACCCTGGGCAGCTGGCACCGTTGCCCCTGCCCCGGCCGCCTCCTGCTCCTCCTCATGGATCAGCTGCACGGGGAGCGCCGTGGCCCCTGCAGGAGCCTGCTGCGGCCCCCACTGGCATGCTGCCTGCTCGCAGGAGGAGCCCGGGTGCCAGGGCCCACGGCAGTGGTAGCAGAACTCCGTCCCACAGTCTTGGCGGCCGCAGATGAGCCGGGGGCACTCCGCGCAGCCGTAGGCAATGACCGCATAGCTGGGGAGGAAGCATGGTGCTCAGCTCTTCTCCAAGGGCCGCCGTGGCCAGAGCACCCCATACCCAGAGCCCACCTTTGAGGTCCCGTTTTCCTGCAGCTTAGGCCATGTCGGGTATAGGTGTGTGGGGGGGGGCTCGATTCAGACCCGCATCCCAGCCCAGGAGCTGAGGCCCGCGTTTGGTCAGCCCGAAGCGCAGCCCCTTCCTCCCGGCCAGCCTCTGCCCGCCACTCCCTCCCGGCCTCAGCAGCCTTCCGAGCCGTCAGGAAGGCAGGCGGGCGGCGACCGCGGGGGGGGGCAGGCGCGGGGGGGCCCTGGGCGCAGCCGACCCTCCCCACCGCGCTCGGGGGCGGTCCAGCCGCGGCGGGGCTCCCAGGCGGAGGGGCCGCGCGAGCGGCTCCGACTGGCCCCGGCCCCATTCACGGAGCCAGCCCCCTCCCCGCCGCCCAGCCGGGCCGCTGCGCTCAGGGCTCGGGCGGCCCTGCGCGGCCTTTCCGAGCGCTGCCCCCAGGCGGAGCCTCCGGGCGCGGCCACGGCCGGCAAGCGCAGCCCGAGCGGGGCGCGGGCGCGGCTGGCAGCCCACCTGCAGTCCGGGGCCGGGCACCACCGCGTGCCCGGGTCGGCGGCGAGCAGGCGCCAGAGCAGGAACTCCTCGTACTTGTCGCGCAGGGCGGCGTCGGGCAGCAGCAGCTGGTGCACGTCGGCGGGCTGCAGCGTGGCCGGGCAGTGCGGGCAGGCCACCGGGACGCGGCGCTCGCTGATCTCCAGGCGCAGGTAGCGCTGCAGGCAGGCGCGGCAGGCGCGGTGCGCGCACGACGCGAGCGCGGGGAAGGCGCCCGGCGGCTGGGCCAGCAGGCACAGCGGGCACTCCAGCAGCGGCGCGCCTGCCGTCGCCGCCGCGCCGCCCC